CAAGCTTTCAGTTTAGAGAGTAACGTTTTCTTTAGAAGTCTTATTTGATCCCTTGGGTTGAATCTTTTTAACACATAAATATTGGGGAAAGAATTACATTAGTTTGTTAAAAGGATACATTGATTTGGAAATTTTTTAGAAGAGTAAGAACTGTTCTCAAGCATGAAGATCACACTGATTTAAGATGTATTGGGCAAATGCATTTGTTCAGAAAGATCAGAGGTAGAGGTAATCACTACTTTCTCAGTGCTGTACTTTGTTGTGAATACTTTTGCTGTTTTTAATATGCCTATTAATATATATTAACATGAAAACTGGGTTAATTAAAACATATAGTCTATAGTCTATATATGTGATTATAAATAAAATCTATTTTGTGTTCACAAAAGTAGAAAAATCCCTTTAATTAGTGAAATTAATTGCATCCTGTATAGTAATAAGCATCAATTAGATGCAAGCTCTCATTGGATCAAAGTCAGTTTAGATAAGGGCAGCTCAAGGTCACTGAGGGAGATGCCCAGCAGATTCATTTGCATAAAAAATTACTGTTAGAAATAGGACACTGAGGCAGCTCTAGCATTTTGATCTCTTGGCCTTTGTCATGGAGATTCCTAGTAGTGAAGGGAGTGAGGCCAGTGTCCCAGATAATGATTAACTGTTTTAATGGCATTCATTCATTCATTCGGCACTACCTACTCATGCAGAAAAAAGGGTTATGTAAAATGACATTAGAAGAAAATCATTTGTAATCGTTGCATTGGGCTGCACTTTGAGGAGACATTAGAAGTAAATCCGTGGCGTGGTAGGCTTATGCGTTATCTTCTGATATTTACTGAGTTTACTGGTGCATGAAAAGCTTTCAGCAAGAATAGCAGATGGGATGGACCTTTCATAGGTAATGCTATCTACCAGGTTATTACTTCTATATATTGATAGTAAAGTAATCTCCAAGATATCACCCTACAAATATAGATTATTTAAATGTCTGTAAAAACAAAAAAAAAACTTTCATGAATAGTTGACTTGCTATATCTTGGGTCAAAGACTTTAGATATATTTTGACTTCAAAAAAGTTCTAAAACTATATTCACTCCTTTGCTATTAACTTTTTGTCAGCAGTACAGGCGCATGTGACAGAACCCTGAACCCAGAGTTAATCAGTTGACACATTCTGCCTTAAATTGGATCTTTACTGTTAATTAAAACTAAAGGCATACTCCAAGGCAGAAGTGTTGAATCAAGATTTGTATTTCTCATATTTTAAATAGCTTAAAGATTTTTGTTAGATTATAGTATAAAAACTTGTCCACTGGAAATCATTATTGAATTTTCAGTACTGTATTCTAATACAGAAATGTTCTCTAATTAGGTAAGATCTAGGCTGATTTCATTCCTATTAAGTCCTAGAACATGATAGTTTATTAAAATGAGAGCATGTAGATAGTGCTTGCCGTGTCATTTACTAATTAATTATTGTGAAACTGTTTAGAATTTCATAGCACAATATAAATACTGATGCTATTTTTATTAGTTATAATGGAAGTTTTTAAATAGTGACATTATTCAGATGAATAAGCATCAAATGTTTGCACTTCAGAAAGACGTATAACTGAACAGAAGGGCTATATTTAAGATTACTTTCAAAATAAAATTACGTGTCAATGTGAAACATGCTTTCAAGATTGATTAAGAAGGCTCTCTCCATCCCTGTCACTCTTGGCTTTACTAATTCCTTCCTGATAGGTTCCACACTCTCAATGTGAAGCTGAAGAGACACTAAGGAAGCTGTTAGTCATTTATTCAAGCTTTTTAATATGTATGATTTTATAAGTTTCCCTTAAGGACATAAATACTTTCTTGAGGCACCTAATTGTTATTAACAGTAGCTAAAATTTATCAGATGTTTACGGTGGGCATATGTTTATGGTGGGCATATGTTTACATATGCATTAATATGCATCCCTTATTATTTAGTATACTTACTGAACTTGTACTTATGCTTAGTTGTGTTCCAGGAACACAAAAGCAAACAAATCCTTGACTTCACAGAATATACTTTCTCCTTGCCTGGTGGGAAGTGGAGTGGATAACTAAAACAAGTAAAATATTTAATGTGTCAGATATGAAAAGAGCCATGGAGGTTTTTTAATTTTTTTCTGGCTTTTGTTTTTTGTTAAGGGATTTGTTGGTTGGAGAGGCTCAAAGGGAAGGGACATACCCTACAATATCACATGGAGGGAGCTAGTAGTCAAAAAGGTCTCACTAAGATGGTCACTGAGCCAAAAAACTTGAAGGAGTTGAGTATCCTATGTTGTATTTGGGAGAAGAGTGATCCAGGCAGATGGAACTGCTGATGCCAAAGTGTATTAAAAGTTTATTTTGACTGCTCAGAGAGCAACAAAAACGTTAGTGACATGTTGGCACATGCTCCAAAGCATGTGGCAAGGTCAGACAGATAGAAGAGAAAGATGGTAAGCCATTGTAAGGGCTTGGTTTTTCCTGATTATGTGAAGCTATTAGAGGAGAGAGATGTCCTCATATACCTGCAAGATTGCTTTGTATTGAAAATAATAGAGACACCAGTAATGAGGTTCATTTCTGGGGGAGAGGGGTTGTTTTTCTTGTCAGTCGTGGGGTTTGAACTCTGGGATTAGGCACTGTCCCTGAGCTCTTCAGCTCAAGGCTAGTACTCTACCACTTGAGCCACAGCATCACTTCCAGCTTTTTTCTGTTTATGTGGTGCTGAGGAATCAAACCCAGGGCCTCATGCATGCAAAGCAAGCACTCTACCACTGAGCCACATTCCCAGCCCATAATGAGGTTCTTATAGTCATCCAAATGAGAGGTAAATACTCCATGGAGTAGTAGTGGGGTGAAAGGGAAGAGATGTGTCTTAGAGAGCTAGAAGCTTTGCTAGATGGGCTGTATATGAGAAATGCCTATGTGAAAGTAAAGCACACCTTCAGGCTTGTCTGTGAGGATGATTCAGAGATTACATCCTGAGGGCTGTGACCAAATCAATGATTTAATACATTGATGGATCCAGACTGAATAAACTATCAAGAGGAAGGAGAACTGTGGAAGGTAGGGGCCTGGTTGGAGGAAGTGGGTTGCTGACAGCATGTCTTTTGCTGTATCTTGCTCTTCTTGTGACTGTTGTTCTGCTTCCTGCTCATGATGTAAGCTACTGCACCATGTCTTTGCCACCAAGATGGACTGAAACCTCTGAAATTGTAAGCAAAATAAACCTTTTCTGCTTTAAATACTTTCTACCAGGTATTTGGATTACAGTGAAAAGAAAAATAATATCCAGTTTTCCTTCTTCAAAATAAATCTTTTCTGCTTTAAATACTTTCTATCAGCTATTGGATTACAGTGAAAAGAAAAATAACATCCAGTTTTCCTTTTTAGGAAGTAAGAGGTACAAGTAAGTTGCGTGAAGATTTTTGTTGCCTATTCATTATTTTCCTATGTCAAGAAAAGAAACCCTCCACAAACCACCTGTTTGAAAAATTAATTTTAAAAGTTTGTTGGCAGACTAGCACTCATTGTTTTATGATCACAGTAATGAACATGTGAAATAAATTTACTCACATCCATGCCCTTGCCATACATCCTTACCTCTTATCTTCCAGTCTCCTAAAAAGGGAAGAAACAAGGATTAGATTTTTGTCCTCCTGGTTAAAGCCACTACCCTCTGCAGGTCTTGCTCTGTCATCTCTACTTTCTCGCATGCTCAGGTCCCTCTCATTTGAAAAACAAACCATCAAATTCTCCTAGATACTGCACCATCTTATTCACACTTCTCAAATAAAATAGCTATTCTCCCCCTTTCTTAATAGGTATTCAGTTTTTTAACATTTCTCATAAAATGTCATATATATATATATATATATGTATATATACTGAAAAATACATAAGGTGCTTGTATAAGCTAATAAATTATTTATGTAACATACATCCAAGTAACCACTTCCATGTGCAAGATACAGGAAATTGGAGCTACTCTGAAACCCGTTGTATGCTGTTTTTTCCCCACTGCAACTAACACCCCAGCTTCTGTGGGTAATTGTTCTTCTCTTTTTTTTTTTTTGGTCGGTTGTGGGGCTTGAACTCTGGGCTTGGGCGCTATCCCTCAGCTCTTCAGCTCAAGGCAAGCGCTCTACCGCTTGAGCCACAGTGCCACTTCCAGTTTTCTAGTGGTTTTTATTGGCAATAAGAGTCTCACGGACTTTCCTTCCCGGGCTGGCTTTAAATCCTAGCTAGGATTACAGGCATGAGCCACAGGCGCCAGGTTCTTTGTTCTTCTCTTTAGATTTGTGTATACCCTTCAGTCTTTACCCTGCTGCCTTCTATAAAATTCTTGGTACCCCACTAACTAGTTCCAAATTCTCAAAATATAGTTACCAGTATATACTTATTATTCTTTTTTTTGGGGGGGGGGGGAATCCGGTCGTGGGGCCTGAACTCTGGGCCTGGGCACTGTCCCTCAGCTCTTCAGCTCAAGGCTAGCACTCTACCACTTGAGCCACAGCGCCACTTCCGGCTTTTTTTTTTTCTTTTTGCTTATGTGGTGCTGAAGAATCGAACCCAGGGCCTCAGGCATGCAAGGCAAGTGCTCTACCACTGAACCACCTTCCCAGCTCCTACTTATTACTCTTGTGATGGATTACTTCTCAGTCTTGATATCTTCAGGCCGTTCTGCCATATATGGCATTATAGATTAGTTTATCATGCTTGGAAATACTCTGTTAAGGACTAAGTCTGTGTCCTCCTGTGTATCCACATGCTCATTGAACCCTCCCTTCTCTGTCCCTTTTATGAGCTCCTTTGCTTGTTCCTTAAATGTTGCTGGCTATATCCTCAACCTACTATAACTCCACACTAACTTTAAGGAACACTATTTCTAAGGAATTTCATACCTAAAAAGAACTGTTTTGGAAAGCAAGGTTTTAACTTTATGCTAAAATTTGAAAGCCACACAAATATTTATGTTTCAGACCAAACCTGGACCACCAAAAAAGCCAAAGAACCCTTCTGGACAATCAGCCTTAGTGTATTGCTACAACTGTGCACAAAAAGGCCACTATGGACACGTAAGTTTGAGTGACATTTGAGCATAAAGAGTTATGAAAGAGGAGCTCAGAATTAATGTAACTCCTGAATGTTTACTTGTTTACACATTAATATTCAGAGGCAAGATTTAATGTATTTTTAACTAATTCTTCTGTCTTTGCAGAGTAACTTTCAGAGCAGTAAACACTAATTGTTTTAAACATACATGAAAAAATAGCAGCTGAGACAAATAATTGTCATCAAGAACATAGTACAGTTCTCATGAGATCTTATCATTACTTGGACATAGATACATTGTTTTATATTTTCTATTAGTTCTCCAATTTTCCATGGTACCATATTCATACTCAGTTAAGCCTTCATCATTCACATTCAATCCCTGATCTTCAATAGTAGAAAGACAGGTGGCATATCACTGACTCACCCACCTACAAGTGCCCAGACTTACAACCAGCATATTCCCCAGGCCCAACCGAAAGGACTAAACTATATTCTAGATGTTGAGGTATCAGAGCAGAAGAAACTGTTGGCTATGAGATGGACATGAATCCCCTAGACAGTTGCCACATTAAGTGTAAGCAGGAGTAACTCATGCAGAGACAAGATGCAATAAAGAATAATCTCAGAACCCACAGATTGTGGGAACCTTGATGCAGAGGAGGAAAGCAGTGGCATTAGAATTAGGGATTAGAAAATCATTATGGAAAAGCGTATTCCCATTCTCCATGCAGGCATTTCATATTATTGCCTAGAAACCACACTAAACTAGTATCAAATCATATTCAGTGACAGGATACAGATTGCACAGAGGCTCTAGAGTCCTCAAAGTAGATAGAGGGATGAGCAATAGAATGGGTAAAGTGGGAGAGGGAGTATTGCAGTCACCTTTTGAGCTTCTAACATTTTACTAATACAGACCTTGGGAGTCCTACAGATATAGGGAAAGACAAAAGGCTGGAAGAAGAAAAAATGCTACAAAGAGCCCATCGGCAGATCAGGTTTCTCCTCCATTTTCGGGCAGCAAGAACTGTTGGGTAAAGGGTAGGATTTGATAGCCAGAATGAGGCTCTGATCCTCAGTTCTAATTTTTTTGTTGTTGTTCTGTTTTTTTAAGACAGAGTCTCGCTATGTAGCCCAGGCTGGCCTGGAACTCGAGATCCTCCTGCCTCAGCCTCCCAAGTGCTGGGATTACAGGCGTGTACTACCACGCCCAGCTCTCAGTTCTAATTTTTGCTTCGCTACTGACTTAACCAGGTGATTTGAACTACTCACTTTTTTTCTTTGGTCCTCAGTCTTTATCTCCAAAGCAAAGAAGTTGTACAGCACTGATTTGGATGCTGTCTCCAATGTGATCAAACCCCATCGTATGGTGATAGAGATGGAGCGATCCTACAGAATACTCAACTTCGCTTCTGTAGAACTCACATTGACAGCTTAACTAGAGATTTCTTTTATAGAATTATAATCTCTAGATTTAATTACTCTGTGCATTCATCCTGGTTACCACCATTCAGATGTTGTCAAGACTTTTTATAGGACATACTCATATACTCACATAATTAATCCACTGCCACACAAATCAGAGATGGTACAATTTATGCTTGCTTGCCCCTTCACAGCAAAAGGATATGATTTTAGTATTTGTGTTTGCTCAATTAAAGAAAAACAATTAGAGTAGGATGCTTGCTGCCAATATAGGAATATGTTTAAAGCATTGGAATTTATATTGAAATCTAGATTTAGGTAAGTTCTAAGTTACATAAAAGTATAGACAAAGTGCTCTAGATTAGCCAACACTAAGAAGATGAGTGGAGTGGCCATTTCAGAATAGTAAGTAAATTATATCACCAGCTATCAATTGTCTGTGTTAATGGAGAGGACCAACAATGCGGATAATCAAAATATAATTTACATGTAGCTTTGGAAACATTTTAGTCACTGTATAGTTCTATATAGTCTCAGCTGTACAGGATCCAAATAAGACTATATCGATTGTTAAATACATCTGAGAACCGCTTCCCTTCACGTTTAGAAATTCAGCCTGCAGATGTTATTGACTCTTCATGTGAAAGATAGGACTTTGCCTACCCAAATTCTCCTCATTCTCTAGCTAGAGAAACACTATGTAAAGAGACTACTTCAGGAAAAGAGGGGGAGCTGGGAGTAGCAAAAGGTTTCTGGTGTGGGTATTGGCTGACTATACCAAGATTCTAGTACTTTTTTTATAATCATGATTTGCTGCTGTTATTGTAGGGTTAGAATTCTTGTTAAAGGTAAAATTGCTTTGTACCCCAAAGTATTAAGAGTTCTATGAATATTACTCCTATACTATTTGTGTCATGAGTTATGTAGCTACATGTATTTTGTTATTAATACTTTCATTGTGTTAGGGTTAGAATCTTAGACCCAACTCTTTCATAGTTATCTTTTTTTCCTAGGAATGGGAATTTACTTCACCACAGATAATGGTTATGAAAAGATTTCTTAGCCGGGCGCTGGTGGCTCACGCCTGTAATCCTAGCTGCTCAGGAGGCTGAGATCTGAGGATCACGGTTCAAAGCCAGCTCGGGCAGAAACATCCGTGAGACTCTTATCTCCAATTAACCACCATTAAACCAGAAGTGGCACTGTGGCTTAGAGTGATAGAATGCTGGGCTTGAGCAAAAAAAGCTTGGAGACAGTGCCCAGGCCCTGAGTTCAAGCCCCATGATTGACCAAAAAAAAAAAAGACTTCTTTATGTTGTCCTATAAGCTTACTTTATAACCTGCAAGATCCCAAATAGACCAAAATGATTTAGGAAGTCACAAAATCAAAAAATAGCAGAAGGAAGGAAATAGTAAAGGTGTAAGATCAAATAGGAAATAAAAAGTAGCATCGGAAAACCAAAAGCTGGTTCTTTGAAAACTCTTGTCTTGGGGCTAAAAACAGAAGTCAATTAAGGTAAACTGTTACAATACAATATCAATGGTAAATGAAGATTTTCATTACTTTCTATTCTTAAGAATATATTTGGAATTACTCATAATTTTCTTTTTTATTTCTTTTTGTTTTTGTTTTTTGTTTTTGTTTTTTGTTTTCAGGACTGGGGATTGAACTCAAGGCCTTGAACTTGCTAGGCAAGTGCTCTCTAACACTTGAGCCATGCCCCCAGTCCTTTTGCTTTTAGTTTGTTTTTTTCAGATAGAGTATCACGCTAACTTTGCCTGGGCTGGCCTCCAACCGCGATCCTCCTGCCTCCGCCTCCTGAGTAGCTGGGACCACAGGCATGCGCCAGCATATTCGGCTTGTTTTTGAGATAGGGTCTTGTCAACTTTGCCTGGGCAGGCCTCAAACTGTGATCTACCTATCTCCACTTCCTGAGTAATTGGGATTTCAGGCGTGCGCCACCACGCTCAGCCCTGATTCGTGATTGTCTTAACTCTGCAAATGAAGTATATAAAAATGTATGTCTACCAGCCTGGTCAGATATCTTAGAAATACAAGTCTAGTATGTAAGGTCAATGTTAGGAAATAATCAGCTAAATTCTATGTGCATACTTTCCATACTTTGTAAAAGGTTCTGTATTTTTCTTCAGTATTTGGCCAAAAAATATTGAATATTTGTAAATAAATTGAGATAAGATGGAAGAAGACAAAATAGCAGAGTTCAAAAGGAAAATTTTTTTAAAGAAAAAAATGTTTCAGAAATTCTGCTAAATAGCCTAAAATCAGGGGAGTGGCTCAGGCCAAAGCATGTGGATTTGGGAGCTGTTGGGCATAGGAAGGCCAGAATCATGAAAGTAGGGGAGTTGCAAGTGCAAGCAGTGATCTTAACAGGAAGGAAGAGGGAAGACAAGGAGGAAGGAACTTCCTATTCATTGCTCAAGTGAATAGTGAATATTGAGTTAATATAAGCTTGCAAACCACTTGTGTCTAGATGAAAGAGGAAAGGGTTAATAAGAATGTATAGCTACATTTTGAGGATGGGATGGAGCAACAGGACAAGCAGTTGATGGAAGGCTTTTGGAAGAGACGGGAAAGGACAGATGATTAGCACAAGGCTAGCTATGGTACAGCCTCGAAGTGCAGTCAGCTCCACTCCTCAGTACTCTTAACTCAAACCGAGGGAAGGTTGAGAAAAGATGAGTTTCGTAGGTAAGGAAGAGAATAAAAAACAAGCCTCAGATAGCATAAAAGCAAAATAAGGCTGCTGGCCTGGGTGGCCCCAGCAGCTAAGGACTACTCCATCAGCCACAGTCTGAGGCACCAGTGAGGTAGGGCTTGTCTCTATAGAATTAACATGGCCCACAAAGCCTACAGGAAGGTACGCTGAACAGTGCACCTTTGTGACATGGCAATTTCAAATGCAATTTGTAGGAATGTACAGAAAGAAGGATGTTTAACCAGACATTTCCAACATCTCCGTTCATCTATTTCTATGATGACAAATACGAAATTCGGGAGCGAGAACAGAGAATAAAACGCAAAGCAAAAGGTATGGAATTAAACTTCACTGTCTTTGCCTATTTAAGAGATCATTGGTTAGCATAGAAAAATGTATTTCTATAATTACCATAGAAACCATAACTTTCTTGATCCTAAAAACATAAGTGTTGACTTCAAAATCCCATTGTAATCTGCTCATGATAAACTTTTTTTTTCTGAGTAAGCATTTCAGAAAATGTTCAAGAAAATAATGTTATCTGTGGAGGCAGAATGTTAAAGATTCCTTTGAAATTTTTCTATTTGACAAGTAGTTCCCTTCCCTTCTGTATGTATCTAATACTTTCTTTGTAGGTAATTGATGGGACTTCCTTTCAAGTTAACTCTGATTCAGCTGCTACTAGCAAGCAGAGCTCCAGGCCCACAGCTACCTCAGTGCAGTCTGCTGACTTCCTAACATTTTTTTTTTATTTTTAACCGGGGCTTGAACTCGTGGCCTCCTGCTTGCTCAGTTCGAATGCTTGACTGACATTCTTCCGCCTTAGCCACACCTCCTGCCTGGTGTTCTGCTGGCTATTTTAGAAATGGAGTCCTATTTTGAACTGTAGTCCTCTGGATCTCAGCCCCCTGAGTAACTGTGATAACAGGTGTAAGTCACTGGTGGTTGGCTCTTTTGCCCTTTTGAAGTTAGTCTTTTTTAGATTCTCTGAGTCCTATCAAAATTAAGATACTAATTCTGAGGAAACTAGAAAAATTACTTAAAGCTCCTGCATAGCTTATGTGTTCAATCTCATATAAAACTTATCTCAATTGTAGAGAAATTATAGCACATAAAGATAGTAACTAGGCAACCAAACTAGAAAGAAATTTAAAAGAAATGTATGAAAATGTCATCTCTGAATTAAAGGATTATGACTGCTTTCTTTTATTTTTCATTTTTTCTTCAAATTTTTGTAGTGAATATAACTTTTAGGGGGCAGGAAGGAGTACTAGTGTTGGAAATCAAGCCCTTATCCTTGTTAAGTGGTCACTCTACCACTCAAGCTATGTCACCAGCCCTTTTTGCTTTAATTATTTTTTGAATCATCTTTTATACCCAAACCAGATTAGTCCACAGTCCTCCTGTGTACCCTGAGTAGCTGGGACAGCAGACACATGCTAACACACTCAACTTTTACTGATTGAGATGGGATCTTTCAAACTTTGTGTCCAAGCTGGCCTTCAACTTAAATCAACCTGATCTCTGCCTTTCAAGTCAACTTAGATCATCCTGATCTCTACCTCCTAAATCACTCGTTATAAGCATGAGCCACCACACCGAGCTGCTTTTTTATAATCTGAGAAAAACATTAACTTTTTTTCTTTTTATTTAGTTTTGTAACTCCAGCACAAATCTGGAATTGTTATTTTATGCTGAAAGTATTTGTAGGCCACTTCTTTACTTTTACTTTATCTCCCACCTAGCCCTGTCAGAATCTCTACCATAAAAATATTCATGTGAAAAAAAAAGATGTTCATGACATGACAAAATGGGACATTATCTAGCACTACAACCAACCAGTGAAATACATGCACATGCATGCACATACATGTGTGTACACACACACACGCATTCCCCAAGTCAACTCGGAGAAGGAAAATTTCCTGATTATTTTGGTATGCACCTCTCGTCTCCATTCTGGGCCAGGCTTTATAGTCACAGGACGATAGAAACCTCCTGTGAGACCATCAAAAGGCCATTTTGTACATCTCGCTTTGCCTTATCTTCAGGGGCTGACTGTCCGTGGAGGAACCTTGATGTGGTGAGACAAGACTTTTCTTCGGAAGCTAAGATGACTGTTGTTACTGTAGTCCTCTGTTATTTTGAAACATCTTTAAACTATATTGAATAATAATAATTATCATTGGATTTTTGGATATTTTCCCTTTTCAGCAATCAGGGTGCAACTGTTCTATTTTTAGTGAATGATTTTTTTTTTTAACTTCAGCAAAAGCTTTTTAGAATGTTAACATGCTATTTGTGTAGCTTCCCTTTGTGACACCTTACTTCCAAATCTATGCAAGTTCAACATGGACTGTCTAACTGCTCAATATGCAAAAACCCTTTTATATTTTTCAGAACTGCAGAAAAATGGAGACTTACCCAGACAGTTCAAGAGACCACATATGGAAGCGGCATATAAGAAACCCCACCATGATAGAAGAAAGAGCCATGACTCAAGGAAAAGCAGTAGGCAGCCTCGAGAAGATAAAGCAAGTAAGAAAGAAATGAACAAGAATAGAGAACAGGAGAAGCACAGGAAAGCTGGCAGGCATCATGAAGTGGAAGAGGACTTCCCTAGGGGCCGAAAACCCCACCCTTCCTCCAGCAACTTTAAAACCCAGAAGACTCACAAGTCTTCCCACCACTCATCACATTACCACGAACTGAGAGAAGACAAGCTTTCCAAAGAGAGCCAGCGGAGCAAGCAGAAGAAAAAAGAGAGACACATGGAAGATGATAGTGATGATAATTTATTTCTTATTAAGCAAAGAAGAAAAAAGTCTAAGCTGTGAGAAGGCTACTGATCTGGCTTTCCATATTTATTTGAGCTCCGTGAACACAGCATTCTAGCAGTATTTTTAATTGCTTATGATTAAATAAAGGATAGTTTGGCTATCATTACTCAATTTTAGCCATGCCTAGAATTGCTGTACACAGGCCATAGAGATCTCACTTCTCTGTCCAACAGGTTACTAGGTCGGAAAATGAGAAGACACCTTAATCTTCTGCTGTAATACAGTTTTATCCAGAGTCCTTGAGATAGGAAAAACCAGTCTTTCAAGAAAACTTCTTGTAAATATATTGAAAAAAAATAAGTAAATAAAAGCTCATCAAATGTAATTCATCAGCAATATGAGTGGGAAAATTAAACTTGTAAAAATAGATATTAATACTATTACATTCTTTTTCAGCATTTTTTTCTTTTCTTTTTTTAACATTAAAAAAAATAACTATAAATCCAAATCCAGTTTTTCTTGATTCTAAAGTAGTTATGACGATCTTCCTTTGGACAGAACATCACAGGCTGATGGTAAAAATAAATTTGTCATCTTTGATAATGCTGAGAGGTAGGCTTTAGCAAAATGCAGGCAAGTAATCTGTCTAAAATTAATATATAAGACATTTCCTGAAACAGGTAAAAATGGGTCACCAAAAATTTAATACAATAACTGTGAAATAGTTTTTACCATTTTTATAGCCATACATCAAGAAGATTATCACTTAGATAAATATTACCCAATTTTTAAAACTGTCTTTTCATAGATTTTTCTAATTACTACACAACTGTACAGAATTTTTTGTATTTGTGAACTTTTTGTACTTACCAAAGCCGAATGTTAGAGTAAAAAGAAATAAAGGTTTGAAACAGTAAATAAATGTGTCTTTATGTAAGGAGACAATGAGAAGTTGGGTATCAGAGAACTTAGTTGGGTTAAACAAGTGACTGTAGGGGCTGGGAAGGTGGCTCAGTGGTAGAGCGCATGCCTTGCATGCCAGAGGCCCTGGGTTCGATTCCTCAGCACCACATAAGCAAAAAGAAAAAAAAAAGCCGGAAGTGGTGCTCTGGCTCAAGTGGTAGAGCGCTAGCCTTGAGCTGAAGAGCTGAGGGACAGCGCCCAGGCCTAGAGTTCAGGCCCCATGACCGGACCCAAAAAAAAAAAAAAAAAAACAAGTGACTGTAGTTAGTAAGTCACCATAAACTAATTTGTGTTTTATCCTTTAGGAAGTATGTAAACTGCTATTTATCTGATAGGATCAGTCTATTGCCTTTGGGGAGAAGGAGAATTCTCCCCTTCCCAAACCACTTAATGTGAATTGTAGGCCCACAGTCTTTTTAGTCCTCCATCCTCCCTTTTGCTGTGCAGCTTTCAGCTGTTTTATTGCATGGTATGAATGCCTTTACTCACATCAGCAAAAGGTATTTTGGTCCAAAAGTAAGCAACCAGAATCTCTTAGCACTGCTAAAAGTGACAGTCATGAAAAATAGTTTCATAAGAGTGAGGTAAGCCAGGCACCGGTGGCTCACACCTGTAATCCTAACTACTCAGGAGGCTGAGATCTGAGGATGGTTCAAAGCCAGTCCAGGCAGGAAAGTCCATGAGACTCTTACCTCCAATAAACTACCAGAAAACTGGAAGTGGTAGAGCACTAGCCTTGAGCTGAAGAACTCTGAGCCCAGGCCCAGAGTTCAAGCCCCACGACCAAAAAAAAAAAAAAGTGAGGTAAGCCTTGAGATGATTGTCACTGTGCATCAGTGAGACAAGCATGGCTTATTATGATGTGATGGATAGTATTCCTTCTGTTCCTGGGAGGCTTGAAATGGTCAAACAACAGTGGGTAAGTTTAAGATAATTAAAGGTTCAGCAGTTTAAATAGAGACTTTTATTGGATAGCTGTCCAAAACATGAAGGATCTGTAAAAGCACTAAGATTGAGAAAACAGTAAACATTATTTATTTCTGAGCCCACTTTGATTAGAAGCAGCCCAAGTGGCTCCTTTCTGTGAGGTCCAGTGTTATTCATGTTTGGAGAACAAAGGGAAACCAATGTCTTGATACCTTGGTGGAAAACCTAACTTGCATGGATATTGATATTAGCCATGCTTATAGTTAGCTTTCTTTACCTCCTATGCAGAGATTACATACTCATTTTAAGGAGAAAACTTGACAAAAGTTATACGTCATTCTTCCATCCAAAGATACAGTTAAAACTTTTAGTGTTTAGCCTTCCATACTAGTATGTGTGTTTGTATATGTGTGTGTCTGAACAGTTTTTCTTGTGTCTGATTATTATTTTGTAAAATCCTATGTCAAATCTCCATAAAATGGAGCTTACAACTCAAGAGCATGCATATATTTCATGAAAGTTTTAGTCATATTACCAAATTTGCCAAAAAGTCAGAACTTCCCAGTTATTTGTGCATCTATTTCCCCATTCCCACACAAAGATATCACATTGTCATTCCTTTTTCACTTTGCTACTCTGGCGGGCAAAGGAACATTACTGTTGAGCATCAGTGGTGTTGATAAATGATAAGAAGTAAAGCTTCTCCTTAAGAAACATCTGAGAATTTTGCCAGCCAAAGATCACATGCAGAATAGGAAGCCCTTTGATTCTGTAGCTGTCTTGGATCCCTGGTCTCATCATACATAATTTGCTTGCACAACTAGGAGGCTGCTTTTACCTTCTAGGGAGAAGAGGTCAGAGATATTGGTAAACATTCTACAATGTACAGAATATTCCCACAGACACTACAAGCCCAACATGTCAGCTGTGAAATCCTCATCCAGTTCTCTAAAGGAATTGTTCAGTAGGGAGTGAGTTCAACTGCTTCCCACATCTGACAAGATGCAGCCTTCTCTACCGTGCTTAGGATTTTATCACATTGCCAATGTTTGAGATGTTAGATGGACATGAGTTAAGGTGTGAAAGCCATCCCAAGAAAGGTCAAACCATTTTGTGGGGACCAGTGGAGACCCAACCACTTGAGGGTAATTGATCATATTATCAGGGAATGTGGGAGAAGGGAGGTCCAAATAGCAGCCTCAGGCTAAGTTGAAGCAAGTAAATATAGACCCATGGGCCAGGAAGGAGTGAAGTGAGCCCGCTTGGGGAGAAATGGAAGAGTTGAGGAGTGTAGGCAGGTATGACTGGATTAGAATGTCATTGGGGGTCTAGAAGCATGGCTCAAGTGGTAGTGTCAGCTGAACAAGCATGTGGTGTCCTGAGGTTCAAGTAGTGGTTCTGGGGTGGAGTGGGGAATGATTATTAGGTTGTTGGAGACATCACTAGGACTGAAGTCCAGCTTAGGTTCTTAAGTTTTTCCAATTGGCCTTACCATTCCAAAGATGTCCCAATGGTTGGAGGACATGACTTATCATGTCATGCAGATGTTCATATGATTAAGCTAGCTCAATGTGATTGCAAGCGAACGTTTCATTGCTCTATCCAAAGAAAACAACACTATACAACTGCATCTTAACAATTTACAAATGGCTTTTTAAAATAATAGGTAATGTTCCTAAGAAAATCCAGTAAGTGAGGTAATGAGACAAGGAAAGGAAGAAAAGCAGCTGCAGTCTGGCAGAGAGGAACTTCCGCCTGCAGATGAAATCACCAAGAGAGAAGGGAGCTGTTCAGACAACGCGGAAGCCAGCAGAGGGTTCCCTCAAGTCTTCAGCTGTATACTGGTCAGAGGCCATGTGTGAGGAAACCACTTGAAAGTACTAGTTTCTGGAGTTCACATAGCCAAAAATAGCTTCTGTCCTCACCAGAGTGGAAAGCCTCATGGCTCATGAGCACAGACTAGAGCACACGGAAGAGTTTTGCCTCGTGGTTGAGGGAAAATTAGCCCAGATCTAGACTCTCTGGCCCTGCTTTTCATTTCAAAACAAGATGATGATACAGTCTTAGGGGCAGATTGGTTTGGTTTGGTTTTTGGGTTTTTTTTGCCTGTGCCTTGATGTCTCTCTTACCTGTAATCCAAGCTTTGGGGAGCTGAGGACTTACATAGCAAGTCCTTGTCTCCAAAAGGGAAATAAAAGCAAAGCCACATCATTCACAGTTTACTCCCCTCAGTCACAAGTAAGGAAAAGGAATTGCATAAGAAAACGAACCAGTAGCTTTTACTGCAGAGGCCAGATCCACAAAAAAGTTGAGTTCACGGCACAGCTTGGCTACCAGCCAGAGTGGTCCACACTGGACTTCGATGAAGCCTAGGACCATTCAAATAAGTCACCTTTTTTTTTCTTTTTTGGCAGCACTGGGCTTTGAACACAGGGCCTTGCACATGATAGACAGCACTCAACCACTTGAGCCAGTCAGCACTTCTTAGACATCTAATTAAGCCAGGTCCAACCTACCATTCCAATTGCTTTTTCACTATGAAGCAAAAGAGATGCAAATCCCTTTTATTTCTACTTACACACATAGGATACTTGTATGTTCCAGGCATCACACTGAACTCAAGGTACAGTGATGAGACAGAAACTCATGCCTTGCTGGGGCTTGTAGCTCAAGGACAAGACACTGTATAAATTGAGTGCTTCAAAGAACATGGTTCTGGGTATAGGGATGGGGCTCAATTATCTTTTGATAGAATAAAGAGGTTTTATCCTTCCTCACAAGGGGAGATAAAGCAAGGGCCTGACACACTGAGCTTAACCCACTGGCCTCCAACCCTATTCTACATGATGACACCAAAATAGAGATGATTGAGGTGAACCAATTTAGCTGTTTGGACTAGGAGTTTATACTTCAAAATGGGAGCTTTTGCTGTAGTTCCCTGAAAAAGTTTTGAGAGAGTGAACAGAAGATTCACGTTCAGTGTAAGATTGTCATTCAAATGAAAGAGCAGGGAAAACACATCTGCCAGTAATGCTGGAGTAAAAACCTTGACCTTTTCAGAAAACCACTATTCTTAGAGAAGTTAAGTCCGGGGTTTGTGGTGGAGCTTAGAGTATAGTGCTTCTCTCACATACATGAGGTCCTCTGGGGTCCATCTTCAGCACAACCAAAAAGAAAAAAAGTCAGTAGAGCTAATAGTTCTAATCAAAATGTATTGCTTTAGAAACTCCATGGGTTTCAGTGTACATGTATCATAATCTGTCAGACTTGTTTTCCTGCCTGCAGAGAGCTTACAATTTTTTTTGCGGGGGAGTCAGTCGTGGGACTTGAACTCTGGATCTGGGTGCTGTCTCTAAGCTCTTCAGCTCAAGGCTAGCACTCTACCACTTGAGCCACAGTGCCACTTCCACTTTTTTTTTCTGCTTATGTGGTGCTGAGGAATCAAACCCAGGGCCTCATGCATGCAAGGCAAGCACTTAACCACTGAGCAATCTTTCCAGAACCTACATTTTAAGATGGAAATAATGGTTGTAACTCAAGTCATAAAGAGGCC